GTGAGCCTGGAGCCAAAGATATGAATGAGATCAATGATAGTTGATACTGTGAATGGGAGTATTGGCTATGTATACATGGTTTTACACACACAGCAAATAGACAGGGCATCTCGAGGGGAACCTGTGAACCCATTGTGAACGTATTGCGAACGAAATTCACAATTGAAGGAAGTTGCGGACTCGGACACCGCAACTTTCCTCAATCGGGTTTTGAACTAATTCATTCCCGCGGTGTCAATGGGTCTGAAACCTGATTGAAGAAATTTGCGGTGACAGAGTCCGCAACTTTCTCCAATCACGGGTCTCATTCGCATTACGTTTGCATTACGTTCGCATTACGTTTGCTGGCCGCCCTCTACAGTACACCCTGACTCATCATTCAACATCAGGCATTCACCACCACTTTGATTATCATCGACTCACCTCAATTCTTCTCGATAACGAACATCAATTCTTCTAAATAACAATCAATAATCTGATGTTTCACAATATATTGCCTCAAGAGAAAATCATGACCCTTTGAGATTAGGCTCTTTTGTTTAACACATTTGCTATCAAATTTGATCAAACCTCAAAGTGATCTTTTTATCTTTTGATTCTTTGGGTTGAAAGTATTATGCCAAGCACAAGTCTCTCACACCAAATCGGCATGGAGCTACATCGCTTTTCACGACCTTCCAAAACTTTTATTTGAGGGAGTCCAAATAAACATCGGGAGTCCAAATAAACATCTTCAATGAGACAACTTCATGATGCCAAATGTGGCATATAGAGGGAGGGTAAAGCGAAAGTAGAAAGAAGATAATACAAATGAGACTGTGAATGATCAGTTAGGAATGGTTGACAAAAAAGAATGTTTTATGGAGATAAACCAGGAATGTGGTCAAGAAGAATTGCTGACTTGAGTCTGGTTTTTCTTCATGATTGTGAGTGCGATGTGGAGGTGGAAACATTCGAAATTCACTCTACTTCACTCAAATTGATTGTGATTTTCTCTTACATGATGGAAAAACACTACATTGGGGTTATACACTTTCTCCAACAAGAGTAATGCGCACATCGGAAGATAATCAGTAGCTTTAACCAAAAAAATCACGTATGAATAAACACAATGAAGATATCAAACTTTATCAAACAGATGTGATGCAGGTTAAGTGTTAAATCTCGTATATGGTTTCATAGACCAAGGTGGTTGCTGTTTGTTATCGAGAAGAATTGAGATGGGTCAATGATAATCAAGGAATCAGTCGAGGTTTGGCTAGCAAGGCACAGTGGTTACGCAAGACTTGGCCCTGGGCTCTGGATTGCACGGAGGACCGGTGAGAGATCCGCGGAGTACATGGGGGCGGCCTGTCCGGCTCTAGCTACTCCACTGGAGTGCTGCCCACTCCTAATGCGCGCGTTTACAACTGATGAAAGAGTATGACGAAAACAAAGAGACGCCGCTTTAAACTTGAACCCCTAGTTTGACTGAAAAGGGTGGCGGGCGGGAAAATAAAAAATTCTAAAAACTTCTAATAACTGGTTGTAATACGCTAGTTCTGAAACCGATATTTTTAAGATAGAGATTGTTTGAGCTGAAAAGAAAATGATAACTAAAGGAAATTGAGATTTTTTGACTTTTTTGATTTTTTGAGACTGAAGTGGGACAATCGGATGGCTGCTCACAAATTCAGAACGGACCATGGTACATGAAAGACAAAAAAAAATAAAGAGAAATCGCACTGCGTTAGAGCACGTCGTATCACGTATGGGATGATCAACGATTTGCTCATTTTTGTTGCACCTCTTTTCTGAGGTGAATTTTCTTGCCACTCTTGCTTGGATTTGACACCTAACCTCCCACAGATTCCCTTATGTTAATACTACGTACCAACTACGAAGTGGTGGTGAATGCCGGATGTTGAAAGTCAGGGTGTACTGTAGAGGGCGGCCAGCGAACGTAATGTGAACGTATTGCAAACGAGACCCGTGATTCGAGAAAGTTGCGGACTCTGTCACCGCAACTTTCTTCAATCGGGTTTCATACCCATTGATTCCCGCGGTGTAAGGGGTTTCAAGTTCAAGATTTTCCGTATTTTTACGTTTTGAAAACTTGGACAAAGACATAAATTTTACGTAAAATATTTTTAAAACGGGAGACCTTTTTACGTCTCCCGTTTTAAAATTAGCGTAAACATACGCTTTTAAAAATCATTCCGTCAACGATTTGACCTTTTCAATCATGGTATTGACCACATCTTCAAACATGAGATTGGTCAAGAAGGCCATCTCGTCATTATCTTCAAAGGAAATGTCGCCAAACCTCGGAACGATACGATCACCGCTTCGATTTGTTTTACGACGGTAATTATTCCATGTGCTTGATTTTTATAAACGGTCAAATTTAAAATCTTACAGTGTCGTATAAAACTTGACCGAATTTTTAAAAACCCGTATAATAGATTTAAACTTGAAACCCCTTATTATAGAATCCGGAGTCTTGTGAAAAGAAGTCCTAAGGGCCCGTTTGTGTGCGATTATTTCACTGCGATTATGCCAATACCACAGTGAAATAATCGCAACTCTTTTTTCACTGTTTGGTAGCCGAAAAACACGGATTATCATACAACAGTATTTGTTGAATAATCTTATAATCTGTCTTAATTCTATAAACTCTTTTTTGAGTTTATTTCCGATTGTAATCGGAATAATTCCGCACGTGAGACGGGGACTTGTCAAAATTTCGACTTTTTCTTTCCTTGTACCAACGCTGCCACAATCACGCTACCGGTATCGGTATCGTACCGGTATCGTAGTTTTTCGGGCGGTATCGTATCGCCAGTATCAGTATCTGAGGCGCAATACGGTACTGGCCGGGCCTCCGAGGAGTATTGGTTTCGTGATACTGTACTCGGTATCGTATCGGATTTTGGATACGATACCGGGCCGGAGCCCGGGAAAGTATCGGGTATTGTCCCAGTATTATAGTATTGTGTGAACTCCGATATCGGAGCTAAATGCCCTTCGTCTTGGCAGAATGACGTCCTGAGAACTAATCACACCATCTCTCTATTGTGATCTAGCGTCGATTTTAGTCACCTCTCACCCCTCTGACGCAACATACCAATCCGACCGGTGTCACCTCTCGTTCAAAATGCGACCAGCAAGCACGTGGACCAACCAATTCCTCCCCTATTTTCCTGATTGGGCCAACCTGTGGTCGGACAGCTTCGAAGACTTTAGTCTGGTGAGTTCATTCCAACTTTCAATCTTGTAAAGTCCCTTTTTGTTCAGCACATAATCTCCTCTGAACTTTTACTATTAGCCTCCCGTTATGTCTTCCTGCTCCGATCGCGATGAAGAAAGTCTTCCACCCACTGCCTCACCTCCCCAATCCCCGTCTTGTCAACTACCACCACCAATACAACCAACTCCCCGTCGAAGTGCCCGAACTACCCCACTTCGCCGTCAATCTTCTATGATTATCCCTCCATCTGATTCTCGGAAGGCTGTACCAAGCGAATCTGAGGCTGAGTCCGAAGTCCAGGCTCCCAAGAAGTCTTCCAAGCGTCCTCGAGTAGACTCTGAGGATGAATCAGCCACGGCATCAGTCAACGAGGGTAGCCGTTCAAAGAAATCAAAGACGAAGGCAGCTAGCTCACCAGCCAAAGCCACCACTTCGAAAGCCACTACTTCGAAAGTTACGACTTCAAAAGCTACCACTTCGAAATCTTCCACGTCAAAAGCTACCACTTCGAAAGCTTCCACTTCGAAAGCTACCACTTCAAAAGCTACCACCTCGAGTCAAGTCAAGAAGACTATGGTAAGTCTTGAAGTTTTTCATGAATAAAACCTGAAGATACCATGAACCTGACTATCATGGCATGTATCATTGTGCACAGCAGTCTCAGAGCGCGCCTTGTTCTTCAAAGTCAAAGCGAAAAAAATTGGAGGTCGACTTGACTTGAGACTCTGAAGACGAACATTCCAAAGTCGAACGACCGGTTAAGAAGCGTAAGAGAGAAGTCAAAGAAAAACAAGTTGA